ATTTTTTTATTCATGGCACAATCATTATGTAATTCTTTCACTCGCTAATTGTTTTTGTTGTGTTTTCAACTTTAATTACTGTGACTTTATGTATACAAAAGATCAAATGGAGTACAGTAAAAAGAAATTGACATCATCAATAAGCACGTTTTAAGTATGTTACTGTTGTGTTACAATGTTACAACCAAAGGTGGATAAAGTACACACACTGGTAATGTAAGTATAAGTAGAGATCTTTTATTTACAAAATACTGATGCAAAAGTTGAAGAAGTGCTTCCTTACTTCTCATATATAATCTAAGTATAAAACAAAAAGTATCTCTTTGGAGTTATTTTTAGCTAACTTAAACTCAGTCATATTATAATAAAAATATACAATAGAAAGTTCTTACGAATGTAGAGTAGGTAGAATAAAAGTGATACAGAGATAAATGACTACTAAAATATATCAGGATGTGAGAACTAATAACTGAGTAGTGTTAAATATCAACACTTCATCGAGTTCTTCTGATCCCTCAGAGGCATCTGATGGAAGACAAAACACTGTTCAGTAGACCATTTCACACTTTATTCTCTTACACAATACTTCTAGAAGGGTGATGCGTCCTGCATGACACATTGCCGCGGATCTCCAAATGGTGGTGCGCCCCTAACAGTTTTATTACAGAAGCTTGGAACTGTGAGATGGTGTGCAGTTGTGGGTCAGCAGAGTGAAGAGTAGGGGGCTCAACACAAATCCTTGGGGAACCCCTGTATTCAGTGTTCTTGTGCTGGAGGTGTTGCTGCTGACCCCGTGCTGTCTTCCTGTCAGGAAATCCAGCAGCCAAAGCGAGATGCTGATCCCCAGCAGATCCAGTTTGTGAATTAGTTGCTGGGGAATGCTGAACTGAAGCCTATGAACAGCATTCTAATGGTCGAGCAGTTTGACCAGTATGCGAACTGAAATGGATCCAATTTGGGGGGGAAGAGATGTCTTGATTTGATGCATGACTAACTGTTAAAAGCACTTTATAATGATGGGGGGAGTGCGACCGGATGGTAGTCGTTAAAGCAGGAGGGAGATGACTTCTTTGGTACAGGAATGATGGTGGAGGCTTTGAGGCATGTGCAAGCCTGGGTCAGTGATGTATTAAAGATGTCTATTTAAAAAGATATCTGTGAGTTTCGCAGCACAGTCCCTCAGTGCTCGTCCAGGGATGTTGTCAGGACCTGGGGCTTTGCGTGTGTTGATCCTGGCAAGGGATCTCCACACACTGTCTGGGGATAGTGTCACCACCTGATTGTTGGGGGGGGCACCAGTCCACTGTTGTTTACATCGCTGTTGACCGCTCTTTTTTTTTTCCAATGACTGCCGACTAGAAAGGCTCATTTCTGCTGTTCAATACCGAAGAAATTTAAACTTTTTTAAAATGATGCCAAATTTTGTTCTACTGCAGAATATTTTTAAGATTATCTGCTATAAAAAGTCAGGTCAGGAAAATCTCCTTCATATTTTTTTGGTTTTATCCTCAGTTACTGTGATACAAAGCCATGTGCTGTGATGCTTACACCTCTGATGAAGTGTCGGTACTGATAAATGATCAGAATTGTAATATTTCTGACTGTCTGAGTCAAAATTGAATCGAATTCAATCGAATCGTTGATCGAATCAAATCGGGACGTTGTGATTC